TGTCTGATCATAACTATCTCCCTTTGATGCTTTTAAACTTTTTAATGGCAATATATTTTTTTAAGAAATAAATAAATCCAGGGCACTTTCGGAACTATGTTTAACTTTGCTTGCAAATGTAAATAAGGTTACAGAAGGGGAAGTTCTTATCAATTCAGGGTGTTTTTTTTAAGCTTATATCCATTCTTACAAATTATCCCGGCTCATGGAGAACAACTGTCCAAACCAGTATACAACACGCAGAACTTGCCCGTATAATTTGATCGAACCTAAACCAGCACTCTGGTTAGTCTTTCTAATGGGGTTTCTATTCATCGAGCAGTGACATTGTGGCCCTTCCATCCTTTTTGGCTGTTGTTCTTAATAAAATGGTGCACAAAGTGACTTTCAGTGCTGCGAAAAGAAACCAAATCCCGTAAGTAATTTTCCATTAGGGCAAATGAAGCGCTGCGAATAAACACATGCGCTGTAACATGGCAACGCGGTACCAAAGGGCTGGGGAAAACGCACATGTCCACTTCAAGGAAAAGCACATGGGTTTCCTCAGAGTTGGAATAAATGGCATAAATGAAAAGAAAATATATAATATATAGATTGGGGAGTTTTAAAAACATAAATCTATTCTTCACAATGGCAAATATTTAGATTGAAACTCTGACTTTTAGTATACGGAATTTTTAATATATGTGACCTGAGTTTAATTTTTAACCCATTTTTCAACTAAACATCTATACCTAGTATGCAAAAAGAGAAATTTTTTAAGCCTCAGTCTTTTTAAAGTCTTCATGAAGTTTTAAAATTGACTGTTAAATGTATCCGAGATCCTCAAAAGTCTGAATAAATAGAAGAAAAACAGTTCTGAAAGTTTTGAAAACAAGTTGTGATACTAAAATTAGATATTTGAGTCTCTCACTGTTTGTTCTGAACTTTCAGTGTTTAAATACATATGAGTTATGGATAAAAGTAAAATATTTTCCATGTGTTTTTTAAATCTAAGGGGCAGTACCTTGTGGAATGTGTTGAAAGTGTTAATATTTGTATGCTTTGGTGATATTTTTTTCTGGAAAGTTTCACATGTACAAATCTTCACTACCACAAATTAGTAATAACAATAAAACCCTGCTCCCATATTAAAAATAGACTGCTATGGCATTTTTCTTACGTGACTAGTGCGTGGTGTAACTAAGGTCGAGAAAAAGGGTGTATCCTTCTCGATAACTAAATCCTGCCTATCTGCTGCGGGAGTTCTCCAGCTTGTTTTTTAGACTCAAAGAACAGTGTGGGTTGGAAGAAACGTTTAAAGGCCATCTAGTCCAACCCCATGCCATGACCAGGGACATCTTCAACTAGACCAGGTTGCTCAGAGACCCGTCCAACCTGACTTTGAATGTTTCTGGGGACGGGGCATCTCCCAACTCTCTGGGCAACCTGGGCCAGTGGCTCACCACCCTCAGTGTGAAAAAATTTCTTCCTTATATCGAGTCTTTTAAGCCTATGGCTGCTCCTGCCCCAGGTCTGCTGTTCCATAACCGGCCTCTCTGAGGTTGCATCTTCTGAAATTTAGACGAGGATAAAAAAAAAAACCTCTGATGATCTTTCTGGGAGTAGATACTGCCTCCAAATAAAATACTGGAACGCTTGTTTTTTCTACAGGTTATAGACTTCTGGATGGTGTTGTAGAAATCCTGTAAGCTCTTGATGGTTATAAATGACTGAGATCTGGGCAGGTACTGGATGGAGAGATGACTCTGTCTGGAAGGCAGCAAAAAAGAAGAATTAATGTGAGTTTGGAAGAGGAAGAATAGAATAGCTGGAGCAAAAATGTTCTGGAGAAAATATAAAGACAAAAAATGTGCTAACTAGACATTGTCTTTCTCCACCATGCGCTTGGGAAATGCACATGAACAGGTTTAGAAGATTTCACGTTGTTATTAGTTTATTTTCAGGTCATTTATTTAAGTGTCATAAAGAACATTAGCTGGCGGTTAGGGACTACAATATCCATTATATCATTCCAATCATGTGGACAAGTTTATACTACATATGATTTACAATGGTCTTTCCGCAGTTAAAATTGTTATATTCAGGTACAACATTTTATACACGGTTGTATTTAGTAAAATCCAAGTGGCTGAGCACGGAGACGTCTTCCAATCAAAGTCCGAAAAATTAATGCTTTTATGTGAACACTGCGGGTTGCAGCGAGAGCTGTTTATGGCTCTCTGCCTACATCCTTTATCATGTCTCCACTGTTGTTAGTAAAATATACAGAACTACTTTATGCCAAAACAATGGAAGTTAATGCAGATAACTTGTTCCAAAGTTAACCATCAAATAAATCTTTTTTTTTTTTTTTAAACTGTTAAGTGAAATGGTGTTCTAAAACTTTTAAAAAATTGTCAAGATGATGAATACTGTGTGTGTAATACAAGTAAATACCACGGAATTGATTGCACACACATGTCTTAAATAAGGGATGTTAAATAGTTTATTCCAGAGAGAGATTGGTGAAGTTTTATCTAATATTATTAGAAATTCTGCAATGACGGATCAGATTTATAAGGGCTGAAAACTAAGAAGAAAATGACTTCAGAAATAGAAATGGTGCATTGAGTGGATGATTGGCCAAGAGATTAAAGACAGGCAGGGGGATACAGCCCGCCTAGGTAGTCTGACCTCTCACACCTCGAGCAATTCTTCTTAATGGCAATGATTTTTCGAAATCTGTTAGTTAAATTTGGTTGGGTAAATCAGTCCTCTCAATTCAGTCACAGACTTGGTGGTTTAGGGCAAATCCCTTAACCTACTTCTCCTTCAGCTTTTCCCCATGCGTAAATCTATAAAAGCGTATCCTCACGGGGATGTGTCCATACTTCGGAGGAGCTACCACCAGCCAGTTTTAGGTCTATAATTCAGCTTAGACTGTCAAAACACCGACATAAGTGTTAGGAGCACGTATATATGGAATTCAGCCACACCGAATTTACGCTTTTATGCTCTGAGAATCTGCGGGTGGCTGAGTCGCCGAGGTGGGAATAGTTTAACTCAGGCTCGTTTGGGAACCAGTCTTATTTGTAACACGGGTGATGGATTTGGATGAGGCTGTTGAATGCGACTGAACTTCTTCTGGTTGGACCTATGGAGCAGCTCCAGCGAGAGACAGAGAGCAGTGGCGAAAAAGGTAGGTCTGTAGATGCCATAGGTGATTCGGTCAGTGGCTTCAAAATGCAGCTTAGTATAGATAAACATGAAAATAATACCCCAAGGGACAGCAAGCCAAATCAAAGAATCCACGTTACATGGAGCGGTTACGCAGTGACTGACTTAAGAAAGGAGATTTAGGCGTTTGAAGAAAAATCGTCAAAGCAATTAGTCAAAAGTACAACTGCAGTAAAGCTCACATAGGGGGTGTGTTTGTATGTTGTGATTTTGAAGAAAAAGGGTCTGTTTGTGTTTAGAGGTGCTCCGTTGCAGGGTGAAGTGGATGATTCCGGTGGTTGGGAATATTTGTTTCGACAAAGAGGGAAGGGAGTGGTTTGTTCACAGCCCAGAAACGAGCTGTGATGGAGTAAAACTCTGAAGAACTGTGGAGGAGGTTGATAAAGCGGAGCAAGTGTTGGCTTTAGTAAACAGTTCAATAAACAGGCTGTAGTGTGTAAACATTTGGAAATTAAAAGGAAACGGGAAATTTAAATGTCTCTACTTATCTGGGAGAACCATAATCACACTGAAAGGCATGTAAGTAAATAATATTTGGGCAAATTAACTTGAGGTACAGGCAGGCGTTTAGAGTGAGGATCCCATGGTGGCCGTGCACGTAGTCCTCTCCGTGTTAATTTAGAAGAGTCGTGTTTGAACGAAGGAGTTTCGCTGGAGTGTTTCCTGGGCACGGGCCATAATTTAAAGTAGTTAAATTGAATAGTAGAACTTTAAATCGAATGGTAGAACTAGATCTGCATAAAACGTGACATTTCACGTATTACAAAAACGAGTTTTGTGGCCTCAATATGCCTGTGCAAATGCATCCTGCTGTTGGGAAGGGTTTTCTTCAGCGTGGACATCAGATGGAAGAGCCAGTGGTGTCTAATATTGTCTGTGGTACCTCAGGGAGGTCATGAGCAGCTCTGCCTCAGTTTCCCCGTATTTGTGTTCATTACTCATACCTGTGAAAAAACATGGGGGCGGTTGCTTCTATCCTACGGGTGGATGTACAACTCAATCCTTTTCACCTAGGTGTGGGGTTTTTTTCTTCTAATTTGTAATTAATTTTTTTCTGTGGGTCACTGTAGAAGTCAGGCAAGGCTAGTTGGATGAGCAGACCCACTTCCATGTCATGGTACGTGCTTGACCCATGTTACTGGGCAACAGTCTTTCTGCGTTGGCTTTCATTGACGGGTGGTGAAGCAACTCGTTGGGCTCAAGCCTAGGCGTAGACTAGACCTATGTTACGTTGAGCATAGACCTATGTTACGTTAAGATTGGTAGCATTTGCTACCAATCTTTGCTGTAGTCCTGGCAAAAAGGCCAAGGCTTTTCTGGCAGAATTGACTTTTTACTTCCCAGAGGTGTTTGCTTGGTTTGATTTTAGCAAGCAAATAGTTTTGTTCTCCCCGTTGATGCATGTGTGAGGTGGTTCAGTGGACACCTTTGGCTTCTCAACCCAGTGAACCTGTTATTTTAATTCACAGGTAACATATTCACTAAAATATATATAAACCGTATCATTTGAGCAACCTGGTCTAGTGGGAGGTGTCCCTGCCCATGGCAGAGGGTTGGAACTCGATGATCTTCAAGGTCCCTTCCAACCTAAACCATTCTGTGATTCTATGATTCTGTGATTCACTGAACACTAGTGGAGTTGTTGCTTGGATGGATATAAAATACCAACCATGTTTTGTCTTCTCATTCTTTATTCATTAATTAACAATTGCCAGGTGAAACTGAAATCCAGCATAAACTCAAGACAGATTATGTGGTTTTTTTCTTCTTTTTCCTAACAG